TTTTTTTTTTTTTTTTTTTTTTTTTTTTTTTTTTTTTTTTTTTTTTGGTGAAGTTTTCTTAGATGTAGATCTGTTATTTGAAACTAGCCTAACGATTTCTCACCTCTTGTTTTTTTTTCTCTATTGGATTTTATTCAATCCTTTCAAAAATGTGTTTTTTTCTTCTGTAAGTGAATAATGCTTTATTTCTTATTCATTCGTTTCTTAACAAGAAAAATAATGAAGCTTTATTTCTATTTCTTTCACATAAAGAGAAATTGAAACACACATTTCTAGAACCTTTACTTCCATGCACAAGCAACTAAAGGCCCCGATGTCTGATATCAATACACCATGTTCATTTCCTTGTTCTTTTCTTTGGTGGTTATAATTAATGACAGTCCATATCAAGTTCTTCAAACAAGGTCTCTTTTTTAGTCTTTTACATAGTTGAAATGTGACTCTTTGGTTCAGTATATTTGAGAAACATGTACAAGTTGCAGACTTGCGAAGTATTTTCATGACAATATTACTACTTTGAAAGTACTGAGTTCTGACTGTATTATTCCTTCTAGGGTCCTCCAGGAACAGGGAAGACACAGACCATCCTTGGGCTTCTTAGCGCCATTCTGCATGCCACACCAGCAAGGATGCACTCCAAGTAAAAGAAACAGAAAATTTTATCTTCCCACATTGCTCAGTCTTACAGTTTTCTAAATGCATCTTTGTTCTCTAATTAACGCCTTTTCTCCTGTGTAGGGTTGGTTTGATTGAAACAAGGCAGGGGTCAGAATTACCTGTGAGGGAAAAGTATGTCACGGTTATTACACCTCTTGTTCATCATCTGTGACTGTGTACGAAGGATAGGGTAACTTTGTGGCGTCATTTGATGTACATATAGTTTCCTTTGAAGCCTATGTTTGTATTTGCAACTCCTCGCAGAAACTATGCATTTCTTTATGTAACCTGTTATGATTTTTAGTATGGATAGTGCGTTAGCATGCAGACACATGGACACTTGTTCACATATTGTGGCACAATAGATGCATATTAGATACTAATTGTACAAAGTGAATTTGTATCTGGACACTTTATATCAAACACTTATTAAGTATTATAACAAGGGTAGATATTAATATAGGATAAAGATAAGAAATGTTAGGAACGAAATACATCAAACTCATTCTAATAATATAA